ACTGTGCGATATAGCTTGTGAATTTCAACCTCCACCATATTGTATTTAATAGTTCTTATAATACCATCAAATCCATGGTACTGTTCACCTTTTCCAATCACAGCTGTTCCTGCAATTAGATAAAATTCACACAAATAAAAATATATATTTTACCTCTATTTGCATGTTTATTGAGCAAACAGACAAAAACCCAGGATCAACAGATTCAACTCTGAGTTGTAAGGTTGAAATAATTTCAGAATTAGGTTAGATTAGAAACATAGTTTTCTATCATGGTTTTCCTGATTAATGATGCAAAGAGTGATGTTTTCCCCAATTCACTCTTTTAGGTACAAATTTAGCAAAGATCGTTGAATGTTTTTCCCCATTGGAAATCGGAGGCAAAACTCCACTCAGAGTTATCACAGAGGCAAAACGTTTTAGGGTATGTGCTTTATTGTATGTAGAAGATGATCTTGAGTTGGGTGAAAACTATCACCAATCACCACCTGTCATCTTGGAATATCTACACAAATATTTTAATGAAATACATGGACTATTCATCTGAGTTGAGTCAAACTATATAACCAAGGTGCATGATTTTCCTTCAATACAGTACTTACAGTAAGAGATCACTTGCTTTGCTTATCAGCAGAAAATAACCAGTATATTTTGTCTTTCCCTTCTAATCTGGTAGGGAAAAACAGGACTGCGAGAAAAGAGCAATAAAGGACAGTAACATTCTCCAACTTGGTGAATTTCACATCTGTTCCTATTGCTACCACTTTAGCTTTTGAGTAAAACACACAAAATTGTTCAATTTAATATGTATTTTGACTTTCAGAAGCTTTACATGTTTACATATTTTATGTATTAGTGGATGAAATGATGAGATATATTGCCAAGAGTCTTCATCTTTTGTTATTTCTTTCTAAGCCTAATTGAACCTAACAGTACACTTCTCTGCAAGATTTTCTGGCATTTATTCCAGAGGTGGGTTTCAGCAGGTTCTGACCAGTTCTGGAGAACCGGTAGTGGAAATTTTGAGTAGTTCGGAGAACCGGTAGTAAAAATGATGACTGGCCCCGCCCCCATCTATTCTCTGCCTCCCAAGTCCCAGCTGATTGGGAGGAAATGGGGATTTTGCAGTAACCTTCCCCTGGAGTGGAGTGGGAATGGAGATTTTACAGTATCCTTCCCCTGCCACGCCCACCAAGCCACGCCCACAGAATCAGCAGTAAAAAAATTTGAAACCCACCACTAATTTATTCCTATTTGAGAGAACACAGGAATGCAGCCAACATAGGATGGCACCTTTGAAAGAGAAAAAACTAAAGACAACAAAGAAATGATAGTCTTTCCTGACTACCATTAGAAATAATGAAAGCTAAACAAAAGAACATATTTTGAGGAGGAGGAATAAACATGACCTCTGCAAAAATAAGTTTTGATTCACCAAATATGAACATTTGTATAACATCAACAAGCATATGAATTGACATGATGCAGTAGATAACATGGGCTGAGGCATATAAGATGAGGAAAATGGGCTGCTTTTGATTAAATGTCCTAAGAAAATTGTATCCAAGGAATAAGAGGACAGACCTTATGATATTATAACTTTGAGCTATAAGGTAAGAATCATTCTTACCAGATACAATAGAATTAAGGACTTGGGTCCATAAAACCACTACTTTACTCCCCATTCCTTTCTATGGGGAAATGCTTGCTTTCAGGGCCCAGGCTGACAGAAATGAACAAAAATGTTTTCCTTCCTCCCTGGGTTGCTTGAAGGGTGTTTCTTTGATAGATAAGGGAGGGAAAGGGTGAAGGAAAACAATTGTTTTAAGAGAAGGAGTTGGAAAGCGGGGGGGGGGGGGGAGGTTGGAAAAGACTGTTGAGCTTTTACTTTCCAGCTCTGAAATAATAGCCCTATTACTCTCAGAAAAAAACACAGGCCCTCCTTTTCTTTTGCCACCTCCCTGAAGAAGAATTTGTCACTGCACAGCTGTGAAAGAGAAAATATAAATATATTTATATAGATAGATGGATACACACACAGAAGAGAATTTGCCCTTCTGAATTGGTTTGCAGGGCTGGACAAAACCTCATTGTGTACTTTATCTGTCCAGAAGAGAATGGGCCCACAGTCTCATTCTGGCAGGGCCTCTGCCTTTGGTTAACTGTAGTTAGACAACTGTAACTTCATTTAGATACGGTACTCTCTGTGTGTGTCTATGTGAATGTGAGTATGGTTTGCGTATTATTATTGTGTATGCATCTGCAGAAAAACACAAACATAAATCCTCTCCATGTCTTATTAAAAAAAAAAAAGACAAGGTTGACAGGTTTTAAGAATGGAAGTTAAAAACATAAGCCTACACCTAGTCATTTTAGTCTTTTCCAAGACCTTATGTATTTGTCTCACTTGTATATTGTGGTGGTCTTTCCCAAAATGAATATTCATAAATGTCATAATATTATTGTATCAATATCTGTTAATTCAGAAATAATTCATTAGAAGTTATATCCTAGTTCGGAAATTTCCCGATTGCTCTGTAGGTACCAATTTGAGATATTTATGCAGAAGTATGAAAGAATTCAGTGAGGTTTTCTTAAACTAAGAGGGGAGAAATTTAGCAAATGCATCTCATGTCTGAGTTGGCATATCTTGTTATGCATAATTGGTTTGAACTACACTTTGAAAAGTTTTATTTTAGCATGATGTATGTACCAACTAAGAATGCATGTCATATTATCTCCTATGATAACTTCTATAACTACAATTGACTACACTAATTCTAATTAATGCAAGTTGTAGTGAAAAAATCAAATTGGGAGCCTCATCCATAGTATGTATTAAAATAATTCTAGATCTTTAAATCCCTCCCAAGTCCTCCAGTGCTGCCTTAGTCTGGCGTGTGAGTGTTCCTGTGTAGGAGAAGAAATGGAAGAACCTAGAGATGGTGTGAAAAGGGAAATCAGCTTATAAACCCTACATAGCCACAAATCCAACCCCCCTTAAATGCCATTGATGCATATCTAACTCTAACCAGGGTGCTGACCATTAGTTGAGAAGATTCCTGTGCATAGGTTTTTAGCAATAGGGCAGCTTAATGAAGCTATCACATTTGGACCTTGTCTTTCGGCACCTGACATCCTGGAAGGGATGAGTGAAAATGTTGGGAGTATATGCCAAGAGAATATACTTTTAGCAGAATCATCCAAGGCAGGAAAATCATCCCAACTGCTCAGCTAAAGCAAGCAGGCACCTATATAGGGCAGCAGTGGTATAGCAGGAGGTCAGAGGTAGTTGATCACTTTAGTAACAATGGCAAAGGCATTGTTTATTTGCCCGTTATTATTGTGACAAATAAACGGTGAACCACTCCTGTATTTTATTTTTACCAAGAAAAGCATATGAATAAAAAATCACTGTTGGAAGACCTGAAAAGCTAGTCAATCATCTCTGTTTTCTTAGAATCTTAGCCGATGTCCTGCTTATTTATATGGAGCAAGCACTGGAAGTCTATGTATATCAATGTGCTTAACATTACTATACACATGCTGCTGCCGGGTGGGTAGTGTCAATAATTTGATCTGATCTACTTTAATGCAATATTCCTTCAACTCACTACAGATAGTCCTCAACTTACAACCATTCCTTTAGTGACCATTTGAAGTTACAATGGCACTGAAAAAAGTGGCTTGTGAATGCTTTTCACACTTATAATCATTGCAGCATCTACATAGTCATGTGATCAAAATTGGGACACTCGGCAACCGGCTCACATTTAGGACTGTTGCAGTATTTCAGGGTGATGTGATCACCTTTTGTGACCTTCTGACAAGCAAAGTCAATGAGGAAACCAGATTCACTTAACAACCGTGTTACTAATCTAACACCTGCAGTGATTTACTTAACAACTGTGGCAAGAAAGGTCATAAAATGGGGCAAAAGTCACTTAATAACTGCTTCACTTAGCAATAGAAATTTTGGGCTCCATTGTCATAAATCAAGGACTCCCTGTATCAGTTTTACTGGAGGGCTCCCTGTAATTCCAAGACAGTCTCAACAAATGCTGATTTCATATAAGCATTAGGCAGCTATTTTAAAGGGCTGGACCTTGTTAAAAGGGTCAAGACAACACTCGAACGAATTCACTCAGAAATATAGGAATGCAAATATCCAAAGAATTGCTAGTAGGCAGCAAAGATTTCCATCTGTGCTGGTGGGTCTCCACCCAGATTTTTGTAAAACTCCGCAATTTGTCTTCAGTCATGCTCCTTCAGTTCTGCACCTGCTGAATTTCTGATTGGGCCGGTAGATTGGAGCACAGCCGGAAAAGAGAAAAGAGCAACAAAGATGACTTAGAGGGCTGGAGGCTAAACATCCGAAGAATGGTTACAGGAATTGGGTATGTCTAGTCTACAGAAAAGAAGGACCAGGTTGACATGATAGCAGTGTTCCAACATTTGAGGCGGTCAACCTATTTTCCAGAGCACCAGAAGGCAAGAGGAGAAACAATGGATGGAAACTGGTTTTAATCAGAGAGAGAAGAACCTAGAACTAAGGAGAAACTTCCTAACAGTGAGAACAATTAACCGGTGGAACAACTTGCAAGTTGTGGGTGCGCCATCACTGGACGTCTTTAAGAGGAGACTGGACAGCCACTTGTCTGGAATAGTACAGTGTCTCCTGCTTGAGCAGTGGGTTGGACTAGAAGCCCTCCAAGGTCCCTTCCAACTCTGTTACTCCGTTCACCATTCTAGTAACTAAACGAACGGCAGGGCAAGGCAGGAACTGCTGCGACTCCCAGGCAGCCGTTCGCGTCATGCCCGCTCTGGCCAGCAGAGAGCAGGAGCAGGGGAGGCGGGAGGAGGCGGAGAAAAAGAGGCAAGGAGGGCGTGAGGGGGGGAGGCTGGGGCGTCCGCAGAGCCGAAATTGAGTGCGAAGCGGCGGTGGGGGTCGGTGGGTGGGTGGGTGGCAGGCCGCCGTGAAGTGCCGGCTGGGGGAGCCCGGGAGCCAATCGCCCCGGAGGAAAGCGTCTGGCTTCTCCTCAGGCGACGGAGGCACGCCCCAGCTCGGGGCCAGAGTCCGGGGAGCCTAGTGCGAAGTCCCAGGGCGAGAAGGGCTCCGGGGCGCGCGCCGCCGGTGTTGCGCGCTCGAGGCGCCCTGGCCGGGGGGATGCCCCTGTGCGGGCTCGGCGACTAGCCCGACCTCTTGGTGCATGGCCCAGCTATGGAGGTGGTGGACGAGACCGAGGCTCTGCAGCGCTTCTTCGAAGGTAAAGGCGAGCGCGAAGCCCGGGCACGTTGCGCAGGGCGGGGAGTTGGGGGGGGGAGTGAAGCCAGCCCGGTTTCTTTCTCCGCTACTTTTGGGGTTTGGGGGGGGGGGGGAGGATTAGCGGCACGTGAGGACCGCCGCCTCGGGTAACCCGCGTCGCCTCGAGCACCGCAGGTGTGTGGTGGGAAAGGTAGAAACGAGCGGCTTCGCGCGAAGGAAGCCTGCGAGAAGGGGATTTAGACTGACAGTCGTTTCGGAGGCTGAAACGGCGTCGTAGCAGCACCAGGAGAGCTCGCCGAGGACGGTGTCAAAAGGGGACTCCGGATAACTCCCGCCAACTCCGCCTCACGAGTGGCTTTTTGAACGGTTCTCTTTCCCCTCCCGGTACCACCCCCCCCCCCAAGCCCCGCTCGTATCCTCATTATTGCACGCCTCGGCTCTTCGTTTACTTTCTTCTGCCACTCCAAGCTCACCTCGCGTTAGAGTCTGTTCAGGGTCACGTGTTACGAGCGATCCTGAGCTTGGCTTGTGTGAGTCTTGATAATGCTGGGTTCCGTGTCCAAATTGCAGATGAAAGCTGGGAGGGACACGGCTGAACTAAGATACGAGTCACACAGGTATAAAGCAACCGGGGGGCGGGGGGAGGGGAGGTTGGAGTTTCCAAAAGTCACCATACTTGAATCAGTAATAAACTATAGAGCAGAGTTGTGTGTTCCTTCCACCATCTTCCTCTAAATTTCTAGAATCTTTTATTATGCCGTCCTGGATGCCTCTAATTGTTAATAATTGGTTAGAGAACCTATGTCGGAATAGAATCCGACAGTGCAAAGTTACCCTTTACATTTTTCCTGTAATACACAACTGCTGGCAGAAATCCCTTGTGCAAGACATCGATCTAAAATCCCACAGTCATTCTCAAGTGAGCCGCAGGTCATTTGTCACATGTCAACCTTATCCAGTCCTTACTAGGCTTTGAGAAGTCCCTTAATCTTCTGTAAAAGATTATATACTAATGAGGATTCCTTTCCTGTCCGCTGTGTGTCCTATTCATCATGGCAAAGGCCTGTAGTGTAGGCAGTTTTTCCTACATGGTTTCCGTTTTGTTACCATGGCATCATCATATCCTGTGATGGATATTGTTTTTTATTGCAGAACTTTAAATTGTAGGGAACCCCATGCCCAGAAAAATTCAGGGATTTGATCCTTTCCTCAACAGCACCTTGTACCTGTTGTGTTGTGTGGCAAGTCTCTGATTGCCACGGATCATAAATGGACCTTGCAGCCAGTTCTGCCTCTCTGAGATACACAAAACAAATCTATCTGTTTCATTCACATTTTATGCATACTCACAAAATATGAGTAGACATTTTAAAATGTTAATTCTGGGAGCAAAAATACTGAGGGTGTCTTGCAGCACCCTCAGTGTCAATACAGTATTAATACATTATGGCATAAGAATATTAGCTTTTCTGATATTTTTTTTAATCTTTAAAAAGCTGCCACACTTTGTTTTTACCTTCTGAAAAATATTGTATAAACTTATTCATAAGACCAGTTATGCGTTGTTTGAGGGCTCAATATTTAAATTACCTAATATATGGCAATTTGGTTTTATTTTAATGTAAATAAATTGAACATGGTCTTTTTTTAAAATAGCTACAGGAATCTCAATACTTTTGGGAAAATAAAAGTCAAAATAGGAGAGTCTGATTCTAGTATTGTTTTCCTTATTGAAATTGCCTCTTCCCTTACGGACAAATTGCTATTAGCCCCAGAGGGGGACTGTATTATTTCACTCCTTGAAAAACTTAAAAACTCCCTGCAGAGTGGTAAACGTCATTATGCACTTAATAAAAACTTATCTTGAATTAAGTCAGCATGTTCTTGTTGAATTTATTTTAGGTCTTTGTCTCTAAGTTACTTATATTTTAGGTCTTTGTTACTAAGTTACTGTATTGTGTTTCAAAATTTGCTTTGCTATAGTTCTTATCTTTATTTATTTTCTTCTCAATAGTTCTCAAATTCTCCTGTGATTTTTCCTTTGTAAGGTGCTGTGAAGCATCTTTTCTTAGCAGCACTTTTGTATTTGTGGGTTCAGGGGAAATATGACTTATTTCACGGATCTTGATTCCATTTCAGAAATATTGAAAACTAGCGCTTCAAATCAAATCACTTTACTGATGAATAAATAGTAAGGTGTGGGGGGAAAGGCATTCCAAAGTGGCATCCTATGTGAATAATTTTTAAGTCATATCCTGCACACTTTAGTTGTGGACTGGCTGTATCGCGTAATGCATTGATCAAATACAGGGTTTGATAATTTTTACATTCCTCCGCAATACTTCTTTTCTTGTCAACTTCCTCATGTAATGATGATGTGGCAAGTGAGCTAGAGCAGTTTTTAGAAATGGTAATAAACTGAAAAAGGAATTGTTTGCAGATCAAACAAATCACATCTAATATCTTTCAACTTATGTTCTTTGTATACAATTGTTTGCGACGTATGTTTTTCGTATCCAATAGTTTACAACTTAATCTTCTTTGTATACAATTGTTTGCTGCCTATGCTAAAGTGTGGCTTGAGCTTAAGGTGCAAAATATTACAACAAAATTAGTAATGATTAGCTAAAAATATAATATAATAATTAACAATATTGTAAAATACCATTTCAGTCCATCAAATCCAACTCTTTGTCCTCTAATTCAAATCTACTCATACTTGTGTGGTGCAGAATTGCTTAAAAGAATCCCCAGTCACAAAAAGACTTGGAATTAGAAGGACATACATGCCACTGGTTTTGTATTTTTATTTATAATTGAAAGAAAGATTTATTTCAGATGAAAAACTATTTGGTTTTGAAGCTGTTAAAAATTATTTTGCAATTGTAGTGTGCTAATAATGAACACCTTATAGCTAATGTATATAAAATGCTGCTGAGATTAAATTTAGAAAGTGAATATGTTAAACATTGTGTGATTAATGGGGAAGAAATTTTGGCTATAATATAATGCTGGACCAATGGAAAAAATTGTAGACCAATGAATGGAAATATACATTGAATTATAATCTTAATTTTTTTATAAAATGGTGTACTGGTGGTATTTAACACTAGATCAATTATCTAAAATGCACAAAAGTGTTTTGAATGTTTGCTGAATATGTAACTGTAAGGAAAGTATTTTTTAATTATATGTGTTGGATGTGTGATAAGGCAAAGGAATATTGGGAACAGATCCATGTTTTAATTCAGATCCTTAAAATGGACTTAAAATGGAAACCAGAAGGTTTTTTTAAAAAGTACTATTGGAGAAATAAATGGGGAAAAAGTGGTATTTTATTATCGTATACATTTTCTGTAGCATGCATCCTAAATGCTCAAAAATGGAAAGAACCGTTAATTTCCACAACGTAGGAGTGGATTGAAAAGATGATGGAACTGACAGAGATGGCAAAGTCAACTGCATTAATTAGGGAAATGAATTTACGTGGTGCGGTTTCCACTTGGAAACTGCTTTTAGACTTTTTGCTCAAAAGAGAAAAAAAATGAAACTGATTTTGAGTTTTGATGGTTAAGGAGATCATGATTACCAGAAATGGCTAATTTACTATTTTAAACAAGTAAAAAGTTGATACTATAACTGTACTATATATCCCCCGATGATTATATGTATTCGGTGTCGGAACTCCTCGCCCTGCGAGATTCTCCCCTCTCGCAGGTTTGGCCCCCCACGTTATCGCGGGCCTATCTCAATGACGGACTTTGGAGTCTGGAGAGATGGCATGGAGCAAGGAAGAACTTATGGGGTTTTTTAGGGAAATTTTTTAAGATTTTAAGGGGTTCTGGGGGGGGGTTGTAATTATTCTTTTAGAGATATTGGGAAGATGACTATGGCGGATGGGGGGGGAAATCCACCAGGGTCAGAGCCGTGCCTGGCACAGGGTAACGATTTGGGGGGCACTGGACAAGGGATTGGGAAGGGGATGGGGGACGATATCTATGAGGGTTGTACCATCGGCACGGTAGATGGGAGGGGCAGATATGGCGGGAGCAGGGGACCATATCAGGTGTTGGGGGCTCGCACTCGCTGTTTGAGAGCAATTGCTTGCCCCGGTCCCCAAGGCCCGCTCGGATACTAGGTGGTTTAGATACTCAGGATCTGGGCCTTCGTCTGATGCTGTGCAATGCCAGGTCCGTGGTCAATAAGGCCCCCCTCATTCACGATCTTATTCAAGAGGGAGGAGCGGACCTGGCGGGTATTATGGAGACCTGGTTGGGCCCGGAGGGTGGCATCCCTCTGGTTGAAATGTGCCCACCAGGCTTCAGAGCATTCCATCAGCTGAGGGCCCAGGGGAGGGGAGGGGGGTGGCGGTTATTATTAACGAGGATCTGGGTTTGAGGGAGACCACTGTGCCTCAGATAGCCGGATGTGAGTCCCTCCTTGTGAGGTGGGGCCGTGGGGTTCAGATGGGCTTGCTGCTTACGTACCTGGTTCCCTGCCGCGTGGCAACAGCCCTACCTGAGCTACTCGACGTGATAGCCATGGTGGCAGTAGAAACACCCAGGCTTTTAGTCATGGGTGATTTCAACTTGCCATCCGCTGGTGAAACGTCTGAGGTGGCTCGGGAGTTCATGGCTTCCATGACGGCCATGGACCTGACCCAGTTAGTTCATGGCCCTACTCACAGGGGAGGTCACACTCTGGACTTGATTTTTGTCTCTGGCCAGTGGTTGAGTGGTCTTGTTATAGGGGGCATAGACATGGAACCCTTGTCATGGACTGACCACTCACTCCTTCGCCTAGATCTTCGAACTGCGACCCCTCGCCGCAGGGAGGCGGACCCAATTAGATGGATCCGCCCCAAGCGCCTGATGGATCCTGATAGGTTCCAGACGGAGCTTGGGCCATTTCCTGAGGATCTAGCACATGACTCGGCCGAGGACCTGGTAGCCGCCTGGGATCGGGCGGCTGGTGGGGCCTTGGACCGAGTCGTGCCTTTGC